TCGGCGTCTCCCTGGTCTGCTGGGGGCGCCCCCCTGCCCAGCAGACCAGGCTTTTCTCACCGCAGAGGACGCAGGTGGCGGGACCGCCAAGACGCGCCGCGGTCCCGCCGCCCGCATCCTCCGCGGCAAGAAAAGCCGCTCCGCGTCTCCCTGGTCAGCTAGTGCGCCGCCCCTCCCCCCAGCAGCCCAGGCTTTTCTCGCCGCTGGTCAGTTTCAGCAGTGGCTGAATCAGGACGCCTGGGGTAGAGCAGCTGCGGTGCTGCCGGGTTGGTCCCTTCGCGCCAAGGGTCAGCGCTACCAGACCAACCCAGCAGCACTCCAGCTGCTCTGCCCCAGGCGTGTCCGATTCAGCCGCTGCTGGTCAGATTCAGCCGCTGTTGAAACTGGACGCCAGTTCCGACTTACAGTACAGTAGCTCCTTCCAGTATGTTGTACAAAATGAGTAGCTGAGTTACCTGGTTACTGTACCTAGTTTTTGCATTTGACTTCTGCACCAATTTAAACTGCAAACAATCAATCTGAAAACAATACTAGGACCATCGAAGTCTTTTTTTATCAGTAGTTAAATCTTACTGCTTAAACTTGCAAAGTTAGTAAAATGGTCAGTCTTCAATTTGAAAAAATGTCTTTAAAATTAGTCTCAAGAACTCTAAACTTAACTAAAGAATTTTATATGGAATAGTATAGCAGTGGCCTGCTTACACCAAGCATGTGTTCATGGATTGATAACTGGTTAAAAGACAGGAAACAAAGGGTAGGAATAAATGGTAAGATTTCAGAATGGAGAGATAATTTGTGGTGTCCCCTAAGGGCCTGTATAGGGACCTATCCTATTTACAAATGATCTGGAGAAAGGGTTAAACAGTGAGATGGAAAAATTTGCAGGTGATATTAGATAATTAAGGCCAAAAGAGATTGAAGAGCTTTAAAAAGATCTCACCAAACTAAGTGAATGAGCAACAAAATGGCAAATGAAATTTAATGTTGATTAACGTAATGCACATGGGAGGGGGGGGATCCCAACTATACATACAATTTATCAAGAGATCTTGGAGTCTTTGTGCATAGTTCTCTGAAAAAAATCTACTCAGTGTGCCGCAGCAGTCAAAAAAGCAAACAATATTAGGAATCATTAAAAAAGAGAATAAGACCCAGAATATCTTATTCCCTTTATATAAAATCATGGTACGCCCACATCTTGAATACTGCATACAGATGTGGTTGCCTCATCTCAAAGTTATATTGGCATTGGAAAAGGTTTAGAAAATGACTTCTCAGATTAGAAAAGAGGAGACCAATGGGGTGAGGTTGGGGGGAGGGGAGGATATGATAGAGGTCTATAAAATCATGACTGGTGTTGAAAAAGGAAGTAAGGAAAAGTTATTTGTTCTCATTAATATAAGATCTAGGAATCACCAAATGAAATCAATAGGTAGCAGATGTAAAACAAAAGGAAGTTTTTCTTCACTTGGCACAGAGTCAACCTGTGGAACTCCTTGCCAGAGGATGTTGTGAAAACTAGGACTTTATCTAGCTCTTTTTTGAACTCTGTTAAATTCATGGAGGTTGGGTCCATCAATAGATATTAACCAGGATGGGTAAGAATGTTGTCCCTAGCTTCTGTTTTGTCTGGAAATGGATGACAGGAGAGGGATCATGTAATTATCTGTTCTGTTTACTCCCTCTGAGGTATCTGGCATTGTCCACTGTCAGCAGACAGGATACTGGACTAGATGAACCTTTGGTCTGACCCAGTGTGGCCATTCTTATGTTTTTGTGTGTGTTCTTACGTGTTCTGTACCTCTCTAGCATCCTAAGACTAAATTGTAAATCCATGGAAACTTTAAATGTGAGTATTTGATCACATGTAGTGGTAGTTCTTGGAATGAAGCTGGATAGTGTTAAGATTTCATTTTATCCTTGGAATTATATATATTTTAAAAAACCTAGTCAATCACATGCCCAAAGATAATTTCTAGCTCAACTCTAGGGCAACCAAAAGGATCTTCATGGATACTAAAAAACCCTCAAATCCTTCAGCTGTAATGGACCTTAATCATTCTAGTCAGCTAAGATTGGATATCTTACTGTACATCTTAAGCTTTGCAAGCATTTAGCTTCAGAGTGAAGCTACTTTAATGTGTTCAAGTAGACTTCCAATTTTTGGTACCAAAAATTCTACTCCCAGTTTATATTGCAATGTAAGAGGATAAGCAAACACCCATTTAGATTAAATATAGTTCTGTATACGAATTGCTAGTAATCAGATATCTCCATTTTGACACAGTCTAGCACTGGTTCTTGTACTCTCCTTATCTCAAACACTTTCACAGAAAAGGTTCCATTTCTCTCAAGTAAAAAGTTGCCTTGCAAGATGTCTAATATTAATCACACTTCAGTAGCCAGGACCAGTCATGTTTTACCATATAATCTAGATCCTGCAAGCTGTTTCAATAATTGGATTTCTTAAAGCTGAAGTAGGAAAACTAGTCCAGCATATGAAGAAAGCATGTACAATTAGGAACTGATATCTGTTCCACCTCTCCTGCCATCCAGCAGCCTTTGTGGCTCCTTCCTTCTGTTGCTCATTGACTAGCTAATGTCCCCCTAGTGCATGCTAGTTAATGTCTTCAGAGGCGCTCAAACTTCCCCCATGAGCACATTCTTCCTTAGATCAAGGAGATCTAGACTAATAGATTTTAAGGTCAGAATGAACTATTGTAATCTCCTGTGTAATACATGCCATAGGAATTTCCCAAAATAATTCCTAGAGCTTATTTTTAGAATCATCCAATCTGGATTTAAAAATTCATCATGACCTTTGGAAAATCAACAGCTATTTATCCTTGCTGTCAAATGTGCTGCTTATTTGTCATATGCTTTGTCTAACTTCAACTTTCAGCCATTGTCTCATTACAACTTTGTTACATGTATTGTTGAACAAAATTGAATAATTGGCTTTTCATGTTGCACCTTAAATTGTCAGCTGCTTTATTGAGCCATATTGCAGCTTCTCCTGGGCAAATGCATTAAGCAAAAGCTAGTTATTTTGGGTTTTTATTTCATGGCAGGTTAATTTCCCTCTCTTGAGACTGGTAATGCTGCCTTTGCCCAATAGTCCAGGCTAGTCCATTAATGTGCTAAGGGCAATAGTAGTGAGGGAAGTCTTTTCAAAGCAGAAATCGCATTTGCTGAAGACAGATCAAACTTTCTGAAGACTTAATTATGGCTGCCTTAGGAACAAACATTTTCTAACTCCCGTCTGAGGCAAGATGAGGCCTGAAAACATTATGGGACTCAATACTACAAATGTCCCTTATGTGTAGGGGGACAAGCTGACTTCCAGTACATTCAGAACTACAGCTCCTGAAAATGATATGTTGATATGCAGGTAACAGGTTCTTTTGGAACAGAGTGGAAAAGATAGCAAAACATCAAACATTGTCCCGCAAAAGGCATCTCAAATATTCATTAGCACAGTAGCTCTGTAAATACAGGGGTCTTGACGGCTTGTAATGAGAGGGTTTGCAAGATACTAATACATCTTTCTTTTTCTTTTCAGAATTTGTACAAATGATGACAGCAAAGTGAAGAGATTGTACAGAACGTGTTAAATTTCTTGTACAAAATTGTTTTTGCCTTTTGTTTGTAACTTATCTGTAAAGGGTTTTTTCCCTTACTGTCAAAAATATGCATGTATAGTAATTAGAATTCCATTTTATGTTTTTTCTCCCTCCATTTTACTGTCATTGTTCTGACAAGTTTTTGGGAAAATTGATCAGAAGTAACAAATGTTGCATGTGGCTTACTTTGGATATTTAAGCCCTTCTGCCTATCTAAAGTCTGTAGGAATTGATCAAATGGGGGAACATCTGGGTTATGCTTGTTAAAGTAGCTTTCTTCAGGAAACTTAGCATGTTGTTAAAACGTGGAGCCTTAACTCTGCGTGGACTATTGACAGTTAACAATATGAAACTTAAAAGTTGCACTATTGCAAAACGGGTGTATTATCCAGGTACTAGTTCATACACTATTTTTTGTACCAGAAAATCATTTTCTCATCTACCATGCTTATTTAAACTCTATTTAGCCACTACTTTTCAGAATAATCTGCTTATGGCACAATTTGCCTCAGATCCATTCCAAGTTGTATATTTGTTTTCCAATAAAAAAATTACAACTTACGCATATTTGTGTATTCTTGAGTTATTTATGGTATTAGACTGCAATGAGATTAATAGCCTCAGCGTGCAGGCAGAGTGTATTAGATATTTAAAATTACTTGTGAATGCTGAGACAACTAGTGTCTTGGGGGTGGGGGGGGAAATGGCCATTTTTATCATGTGAATTCTATATTTGGAGAAACTACTGCAGAAAGTTACAGAACTGCCTGAAATATTTTTTTTCTTGAGGTCTGGAACTTCTATAAAAAGGCTCTTATGGTCTGACTTACTGCCCACTGTCTAGGAAGCATTTCTTCTATTGTCATATGGCTGCTGAATCCACAGTTGACCTAATTAAAATGTTTTCTTTGAGACTGATGGAAGGACTAGTCAAGGTTTTACAAAAGGGAAACACCAGAGATCTTTTGCTTGTAAATACTTCAAGTTTGTGTTAGAATATCTAGCTTCATATTAAGTCTAAAAATTACTAAATCCAGATTGGCCATGATTGTATCCATTAGCAAAGTTTAGGTATGTAGCAAGTAAGCAGGATGAGTTAATTCACTTTGCTTGAATATGGACTAATGGAGCCTTGATCTCTACGTGTAATACAACCCTGAGTGCTTCGTGGCTGTACTGTGTACCTTCCATTTAAAACAATAACTGTATTGTCCTTTTGTGACTGTCCTCTTGGGGCACACGCTCTTGTCTCTCCCCTCCCGAGCGGACATGGCCCTGCGGGCCCCACCATCGCTACCTTGGGTCCAGGAGTAGATTTACGGGTGCGAGCACCTGCTCCCTAATGAGGGCAAGGCCCTGAAGGCCCACTGTCCTACAGGTCCTTAGATCTAACTGGGTCCTCCTCCCCTTTGGTCAGATAGCCCCTCCTTTGGAGTCTACACTAGTTCTCCCGCCACCTTATGGCCAACACTAATATCCAGGCCTTCGGGGGAGGGGGGGAGGATTAGGGGGACCCAGGCCTGCCCTTTCCTCCGGGTCCCAGCCTGGGGCCCTAGAGGATAGGGGCGTTAAACCCCTACCTGACTGACGAGGCTCCTTCCCGAATCACGTCAGCCCACGGGCGCCAGAAGTGCTCTGCCCCAGGCTGTTCCCAAGTTCCCTTCCGCAGAGTTCATCGGGCTTACTGCTTTGTCGGATCCAGTCAGTCCGGGGTCTGTGCGCGGGCCTCCAGGCCACCTCCCCAGCTACGCCACCTAGGAGGAGTAAAGCGCTCCCTCTGGCTTAGCGAGCGACTCCAGTTATGGGAGCGCACCTCCCCCCACCCCTCAGTTTGCTCCTTCTGCCCTTTTCAAGGGCCCTGCCATGCTCCATCCAGGGATGCTGCCCCGCCCACAGATGCCCCTGCCCAGAGACGCTGGGCCTGAGTCCGGGGCTCCACCCCCCCGTGACATGGCAGGCCGCCAGTGGGATGACCTCTTCAGCCACCTGCAGTATTCCCCTCACTCCGAGCCCCACCAGGCTCTAGCAGGGCCTTGGCTGCCTCCCCGCCCTGTCCAGCACTCCCTGGTGTCATGTTGCCCTGCCCCTGTGTGCAACCAGTGGAGGTCCCTATGCCAGCTGCCGCTGCAGCCCCGGTTAGCCTGGTACCCCAGCAGCGGTCCCCCTGGTGCGGCTTTCTCCCCTCCCCTTGTCAGCAGCGCGGACCACGTTCCACCTGCTGCAGTGCGGGCCTTGCTTGGCCCGTCACCTTTTTCCCACAGGGACAGAAGTAATAGCTAAGGACCCTCTTCACTCATAACTTTATATGTTTTTACCCAGCAGCCATTTATGGGTTAACTAAAAGTGTATATCCCAAAAGAGCATGAAATAAAATGGCCAGTGAACTAAAGTGAATGGAGTTTAATGTAATTCACATCCACCAGGCTAAGTGGGTCAGCTTTGCACCTGGCTTCAGAACATCTATCCAAGAGAGGGCTATCCTTCTCTTGGACTTAGGAAAAATATGACTAATTCCTTGCTCTGTTGCAGATCTCACACACATTGTACCAAGTATCTTATGACCAGAACCTCAATAAATAGAATTTTAATGAGCTAAGGGCCTAAATTCCTTTGAAGCATCCTGGCCTTAATATTTGTGCCTCAGTTCTCCACCGTAAAATGGGAATAATGGTACCGTCCTAGTGTTGCGGGGAGTGGAAACAAAGCATTAGGTTGAGATGCTGAAACTTGGTATTGCCCACAAAGGTATATTTACATGGCAGACACCCAGACCTGTTGTGCGCCAGCTGACTTGGGCTTACTGGGATTGTGCTGCAGGGCTGTCTTACTGCAATGTATACTTCTGGCCCTAAGAGAGGAAGGTTCCCAAGCTCAATGCAGGCTAAGTCCAGGTTGCTACACTACAGTGATGCAGCCCATGCCTTGTGAGCCAAGTGTTGGTAACTTGAAACTTGGTACATGGATGTCCACCCATACCTGCCTGAGCCAGATGGAGGAGTCTGGGAACATCTACAGCTCAACCTTATTTGGCATAGAAGTGAGTGCACAAGCACAGAGGTCAAGTCTCTGTACTGTAGTATAATGTTCTCAGGCTATGTCTAGACTGCAGGCTTTTTTCGGAAGAGATCTTACAAAAAAATTTCTTCCAAAAGAGAGCATCTACACACAAGTGCATTGAAAAAGCAATCTGCTTTTTCGAAAGATAGCATCCATTCAGTGTGGATGTTATCTCACGTGATTACTATGGATGGAGTAGCCACCAGAGCATCTGTGTTTTTTTTCCTCTTCTTTCAAAAGAGCTCCCTCTTCCCTGTCCACGCAGGCCTTTTTCTAAAAAAGCTCTTTTGCAAAAAGGCTTCTTCCTTGTAGAATGAGGATAACCAGTGTTGGAAAACTCCTCTGTTCTTTAGATTTACTTTCGGAAGAATGCTATTGCAGTGTGGACGTAACTCAGGTTTTGTCGGAAAAACAGCCGTTTTTCCAACAACTCTGCAGTGTAGACATGCCCTCAGCATGATTGACAAAAGGAAGTTTATACATCCTAACACTAAATACTTGGGCATCAATTTTGTTCAAACTCTGTAAGGAAATGGAGCACAGCCTGGCAATCCCACTGTGCTCCTCTGCACTGTCCGGATTGAACCGCAGAAGGTGTTATGCTTACGCTCCATAGAAGAGATCTTCTCAATGGCATCTAGTCCAATCAGAAGGTTTTTATTTAATGTTGGGAGGTTTCCATAGTGAGCCTCCCTATTGTACTTCTAATTCAGACAGGCAGTCCTTACAACTGTCAGCATTAATTCCCAATGTAAATTCCAGAACTATTCCTCTTTTATCCATCTTTGGAGCACTGACAATTTCATAGGAGTGCAATCTTTTTTTCCCCCTCAGAGTTACTGCATTAAGTTAATCTAATGTGGCACGTTTTCTTGGTCAGTCATTTGTTTTCTTTGTCAGACATCTTCACATATTAGTGACTGAGGAACTTTGAGATATTTTAAGGTACTGCTTCCCATGTGGTAGTGCTTATGCTTATCAAGCACACAGGATCTTTTTAGGAGAAAAGGCAATATGTTGCATTTATTGAGAATAGAAGTAAAAAGCATATGCATTCATCCAGTCTCTCACACCAGTGACACAGTCCTTCTGATGTTATCAGTCTGTGGCTTGGACCAATCTAATGGCAGGCTAGAAGTAACACAAGTTCCCCGCTCATATGAAGACATTATCACTACAAAGTACAGAACTATTTGTAATTGCAAATCACAGTTCTGCAGACACTATTGCTTACATCAGCAAACCCTATACCGTATGGTGACCATAATCCGTCTCTAGCAATGTTCTAATCTCTTCCTGCCTTGACATCGTTGACAGAAATAGGCAGCCTGTCTGATATAGCTGAAAGATTCCTTTCTTTGACCCACATTTGGGGACCATATTACTTAGTCTGGACACAAATACATCCAGAACAGAAACATTTTATTTAGGGGCCAAATCTGTAATAGTGGGTTCTTTAGTCTGGAAAGGGGTAAAATAAGATCTAATGGCTGGAAGTTGAAGCTGGACAAAATGAAGACTTACCTATTTCACCCAGTTTTGTTGCCAAAAACTGCCTATTTTGCAACAAACTGGGGGGTACACACCACACTGTGTCTTGTGTTGTGAAACACACCCAGTTTCAGTAACATAAAATCTTCACTGGTATGAGAGACCTTTTCTTTTCTCCCCCCCTTACCGTTAACAAACATGCACAAGACTTTTATTGAACTCTGCTGTCCTGCAGCCAGGTAAACAACAATCTGCCTCTCCCTTTTGCAAGCCCTGGGAAATTATAAATTCCATTTTCTGCTTGATGGCTCAGCATGGGAGGTCTCTTGGTATCTTCTTAGGTAACCATTTCTAGCTATCTAACCAAACACTCTTCTGCTTGGACCACTGCAGAGCTATTGGCTTTAAACAGTAGATGGAGAGAAGAATCTGTTCAGTCCCAGCTGTGAGTGACCCGTAGGAATTGAGACTTGTATGGCAAATTTCTTGAGGCTTGTGTGAAAAGGGCTATGAGTGGAGGACACTGCAGAGCAGAGAGAAGCTAAAGGAGCTGGGGTAGGCCTACGATAAGGCTGTTCTAGTGCTGGTCCTTAAGACATGCTGTTTCTATAAGGACCCCATCTCCACTGCCATGAGCCCTGTGGAGCAGAGGACACAGAGGCTGCAGAGAGGATCTAACCTAGAGGACGAATTAATAACTGAAGATGTTGAGCTAGACGAGATTGTGGAGCTCCCAGCAGAGTTGCCCGGTGTACAGCCAGTCTCTGCTGCTTCTGTCTGGGGATCAGGACACTATCTCCTGCCTTTCTGCAATCAGTTGTGCAGAGATCAAAATAGCACATAGGTGAGCACATATATAG